TTATTCATGTCCAACTTGTGTTGTTTTTCAGTTAAAACACGTTTTTGTCTTTGTTAAACTTAACACCTTACAGAGGGACTGAGATTTGGAGGATTGAGAACTTCCAACCTGTTCCTCTACCAAAATCTGATTATGGTAAATTCTACTCTGGAGATTCTTATATTATTCTTCAGGTGTGCTTCTATGTTCCCTCAATCTTGTTGATGTTTATTATTATTTTGAGATATTTTTCAGACTCACTTTTTTAAATGCTTACCTATCCAGACTAGTCCTGGCAAGGGAGGTGCTTATCTTTACGACATTCACTTCTGGCTTGGGAAGGATACAAGCCAGGTATCGATGATCATGTTAATATTCTTTCTACTCAGATTTTATTTATTTATTTTTTTTTTAATTTTACGTAGTAACTTGAGTTTGTATGATTACTCAGGACGAAGCTGGGACTGCAGCTATCAAAACTGTTGAACTTGATGCCATTCTTGGTGGCCGTGCTGTGCAGTATAGAGAATTACAAGGGCACGAGTCTGACAAATTCTTGTCATATTTTAAACCTTGTATTATACCCTTGGAAGGTGGTGTTGCATCTGGGTTCAAAACACCTGAACAAGAAGAATTCGAGACGAGGTTATATATTTGTAGGGGAAAACGAAATGTTAGATTGAAGCAGGTAAATCATAATCGTGAAGGCATAATAAAAATAATGTAGAAGTATTTTGTGAAAGTGATGATGTGTGGAAAAGAAAATTGATTTTTATTTTTTATTTTTTTTTTTGCTGCAGGTCCCATTTTTGCGGTCCTCTCTGAATCACGATGATGTCTTTATTCTCGATACTAAAGAGAAGATATATCAGTTCAATGGTGCAAACTCGAATATCCAAGAGAGGGCAAAGGCATTAGAAGTGATTCAGTTTTTGAAGGAGAAGTATCATGAAGGAACATGTGATGTTGCCATTGTTGGTGAGTAAATCCATGACCTATAATATCTGATGTTATTCTGTTCCATTCATATATTTATTTTATTTTTTATTGATGATGAGCACTATTCCAATTCAGATGATGGGAAATTGCAAGCCGAGACAGATTCTGGTGAATTTTGGGTCCTATTTGGTGGATTTGCTCCAATTGGTAAGAAGGTTGCTACTGAAGATGATATCATTCCAGAGAAGACACCTGCCCAGCTCTACAGGTTTTGTTATTTTATTAACCTTATTATGTTATTTGTGAGTTAGAGCTAGTTGCCTTGCAAGTCAAATGGGTTCCTTTTGAATATATGGAAAAAACACTCTGCTTTGAATTTTTATCAAGTGTTGGTGAACATAGATTGCTGTTCCCATGTCCTTTAGTCGATATGTTATTAAAAAATTCAGAAATGTTAAGAGGGTAAATTATTACTATGATTACAATTTAAACTATATCCACTTGTGATGACTTCCCTTTAGGTTAATGAAAAGAGAGTTGTTACTTCACTGTATTTACAGCATGTTTATCTGAGATTGGTCACCTCAGATGTAAAAATATAGCTATTGTAAAAAATATTGTTATGATATAGGCTATAGCACAATATGTCTGTGGTTTGGCTTTGTTTGGTTTGTACTTTAACATTTCCTTCCAATAGCAATTTTTTTTTTCAGCTGTCCTTATTTAATCATCACAAGTTGATGTCTTGTAAAATGTTTGTACATTAAATATTTTTCGATTCCGTGCTTAATCTATGTATTTCTTGAGGAAGTGATTGTTTGTCGTGACATTGCCTGATTGTTTGACCGAGCAACTAATTTTGGTTACTTCTCTTGTTTCCCATGGCAGCATTATTGATGGTCAAGTTACGAGTGTAGATGGTGAACTTTCCAAGTCACTTCTGGAAAACAACAAATGTTATTTATTGGATTGTGGTGCTGAGGTATTTGTTTGGGTTGGCCGGGTAACTCAAGTTGATGAGAGAAAAACTGCCATGCGAGCTGCAGAGGTAAAGATGATGAAAGCTAAAGTCTATTCATATTCATGCTCTTAGGGTAGGCTATGTTTGGTAAAATTGATAAGCTAGCTTATAGCTTACAAGTGATTTTCGAGCTTATAGATTATAGCTGAAAAATTAGCTTATATGGTAAAAGTGTTTTGTAAAATTAACTGATAAGCTAGCTGAAATAAAATTTGAACGAGCTTAAAAAAGCTCGTCCTACCATATGAAGCTTATTTGAATACAGGAAGCTTATAAGCTAGCTTATTTGGTTACCAAACATAGCCTTAATACGTTACCAGACCTCAAAGGCCTCAAAGGCTCAGACATCTAAATGGCATTTTCAGGAGTTTGTGGTTAGACAAGATAGGCCAAAGGCAACGCGTATAACTCGAGTTATTCAAGGTTATGAGACTCATTCATTCAAGTCCAACTTCGATTCATGGCCGTCAGGATCAGCTCCTGTTGCTGAAGAAGGAAGGGGAAAAGTAGCTGGTAATAATGTGACTGTGTTAGTTAGTCCAAAGTTTTTTTCAAACTTTTGTTTTCGACAACTCTAACAATAAACGTGGTTTTNCCGGTAATTCTTTTGCAGCTTTACTGAAGCAGCAAGGTGGTGTCATGAAGGGAGCAAGTAAGAGTGTTCCAGTAAATGAGGAAGTTCCACCTTTGCTTGAAGGAGGTGGAAAAACAGAGGTTTGATTTGATGTTTTGTCTTGTATTTTTCTCATTTTTTTTGGTTTTCTTCGGTTTGACGTGATTATGTGTTCCAATATCTAATTTGCCCATACTTTTTAATTGTGGGATGTTTTTTCAGGTTTGGCGCATAGATGGTAGTGCTAAGACCCCAGTGCCTAATGAAGACATTGGTAAATTTTACAGTGGGGATTGCTACATTTTGCTCTACACTTACCATTCTCATGAACGAAAAGAAGATTACTACTTGTGTTATTGGATCGGTAAAGACAGCATTGAGGTACTTACTTTATTGGGATAAAACCAAAAAATTCTGAGTGAAGCTGATGAGCTGATAGGGAGGATTTTCGTTGTTAACTGCATTATGCCTTTAATCTTCACTTTCCTTTGAAATCAGTTAAATGTATTTGCTGGTGTGTGTGAGAGAGAATTAATATGCTGCTTATGAATTTTTAGCAAGCAATACAAGGCACTGGGTTATATTATTATATCATATCTGCATGCAAATTTTCTTCTTGAATCCGTTTTAACTTCCCATAGTGTAAATTGTAATTTGGTGGATCCAGAATATCTGAAGCTTTTATTTATCTGATAATTGCTTAATTTTAAGATTATTAATCTGCTTTTTGTCGATAGTTGGAGTGCTAAAGTAGATCTAATACACGACTAACCAATATTCAGGAGGACAAAAATACGGCTGCTAAATTGTCCGCCACAATGTGTAACTCGCTGAAGGGAAGGCCAGTGCTGGTATTGAAAAACTGTTAATCTTTTCACAACATAGTACAAATGAAATGTAGGAAATCGAGTAATGATTTATGCTTTTTCTCCAGGGTCGTATATTTCAAGGCAAAGAGCCCCCACAGTTTGTTGCTATTTTTAAGCCTATGGTTATCCTTAAGGTGCCTCTCATTATTATTCTGTTAAAAAGTAAAAAAACTAGTGCGTGAAAAATTGTCTTACTCAAATTGTTGTGTTAGGGGGGACTGAGCTCTGGTTATAAGAATTATATAGCTGACAAAGGTTTAAATGATGAAACATACACTACTGATGGTGTTGCACTCATCCGCATATCAGGAACTTCTCTGCATAATAACAAAGTTGTCCAAGTGGAACCTGTAAGTTAACCTGTAATTTAACCCTTTTTCTTTTTGTTTTTTTTGAGTTTAATGTGGTGGCTTGAAAGTGGGGACTTCAAATTGTAATTTTGAAGATTATGCATTTGTTTTCTCCAATTTTGGACCGAAATGAATGAAATTCAAGGAACAGTATCAATTTCAATTTTGAGTTTAACTTGAAATTCACCAAGGCTACGTTTGTTTTGAGGGATTTGAAATCCATTAATTTCAACATTTTTGAAATATAAATTTTTACTTGCAAACTCCTTGAATGGATTTTTCTACTTGCAAACTCCGTGAATTTGAAATCCTCCAACTTCTATTACCATCCATGGGGATTTGAACTTGTAAATTTGAAATCTATAGATTTCAAATCCCTCAATAAATCCTTCAATCCAAACCCGAACATAACCTATTAATTTTTCATATTGCTTCTTCTTGTTTGAGAACTTTTAAATGCTCTTATCAATTAACCCTTTTTTTTTTACTCAACTTCCATTTCTTAGGTGGCAACATCCTTAAATTCATACGACAGTTTCCTGCTGCAATCTGGATCTTCGATGTTCAGTTGGCACGGTAATCAAGGCACTTTCGAACAGCAACAGTTAGCAGCCAAAGTTGCCGAATTTCTAAAGGTATGCTATTCTTCGGTTTCTTGTTTCAGACTAATGGGAGTTTTGAAAATTGATTGACCTGTTTATGTTTCCATCTCAAAAATTTGCCTAGATTTTTGTAATTGACAACTGTAATCTTCTCTATCTTCACGAGCTCAGCCTGGAGCCACCATCAAACACACTAAAGAAGGAACCGAGAGCTCTTCCTTCTGGTTTGCCCTTGGAGGAAAACTAAGTTACACTAGTAAGAAGGTTTCTTCTGAGGTTGTCAGAGATCCTCACTTATTTGCAGTCTCCTTCAATAAAGGTGGCATTTTTTTATTTTTTTTAATTATATGCTCAGTTTTTGTTTCCACTAAGTTGGTCTAACCTTTTTTCTTTTGATGCATACCCCACTTCTTGTTCTCTCAGGGAAATTCGAGGTATACATTGGACAATGTGAATTCCTTTTAGCCATTGAGGCACTTTAATATACTTGTATTTCAAAATAATATCGATTTTCCAGGTGGAAGAAGTGTACAACTTTTCGCAAGATGACCTATTAACCGAAGATATATTGATTCTCGACACACATGCTGAAGTTTTTATTTGGATTGGCCAATCAGTGGACTCCAAAGAGAAGCAAAATGCTATTGAATTTGGGCAGGTAGTGTAAATTTCAAACTTTATAAATCCCTCAATATCTTCCATTTGTGCTCCCTTGACTGGTGGAGTTTATTGCAGAAATACATTGAGATGGCTGTTTCACTCGACGGGTTGCCGCCAAAAGTCCCGTTATACAAAGTCACAGAAGGGAACGAACCGTGCTTTTTCACCACATATTTTTCATGGGACCATGCTAAAGCTAGTGTATGTTGCAGCAATTTGTTCTCTCTGAGTGTTTTTCGTGATATGACATGATTTGTGCAAATTTTTTTTTTTTTTTTTCTTCATTTGCCTTTTACTTTGTGGAGTGAACATATTTTTTCATATTATGCTTATTTCATGTATGCTCCTTGTTAAGAAAGATTCGTCCTTTCTCATAACAGGCGCATGGGAACTCATTCCAGAAAAAGGTCATGCTTCTCTTTGGTGCTGGTCATCATTCTGCAGAGGTAAACTTAAAATAGTGCAAAACCGTGTATATTCATGTTGTTATAATTCCTCCATCCCGTGTTTTTAATCCCACTTTTCCATTTTTTGTCCCAAAAACAATAGTCCCATTTGTAAGTTCATGATGTGATTTCTAAACATTTACACTTATCTACCCTATTAAATAGCATGATCTCTCCAACTTCCCCCAAAAAAAAAATGATTTTGAAATTTGAAAATTGTGTAAATCAGAATATAATAGAAAGTTTGATTATTTTGTGTATTTTATGATGCAAATCAAATGCACTTTCTTAATACATGGGCAAATACGATAAGGGACGGTATGAGTATTAAATATCTTGTAATGCCAAGTGTTTCTTTTCTTTTTTTTTTTTTCTCTTTCTCTCTTGTGATTATCTCTGGATCACTCTTTTAATAAACTATTTCAATCCAGAAGCCCGATCGATTGTCTAGCTCTATATATATCTATATGTTGGTCATGATATGGTTTGATATTAGACTGACTCGGTTAGAGCTTATCTTCAAAACCAGGATAAGTCCAATGGGTCTAATCAAGGGGGACCCACTCAAAGAGCTTCGGCTTTGGCCGCCTTAAACTCGGCATTCACTTCATCACCGTCCCCGAAATCTGGCTCGACTCCACGCTCTGGTGGGAAAAGTGGGGGTTCACAGAGAGCAGCTGCAGTAGCTGCTCTCTCTTCTGTTTTGACTGCCGAAAAGAAAGGTTCGCCAGACGTGTCTCCCGCACGGTCGAGTCGGGGCCCACTTTCAGAAGCCAGTCCTCCCGGTACAAAAAATTATTTTTCCTTAATTACATTTTGCACCCAAAAGTTTGAACCTTTCTGCATTTGACCCCCCGGGAAACCGACTTGGGACTTAATCAATGAGTTGAGATATATTTCGGTCTCTGACTGGTCGAGGGGGCAAAGTGCAAAAATTGACCGTATCAAGAAACACTCGTGTTCTTTTTCTTTTCATGGATTGTGGGTTTATCATAAATGAGATTTAATAACAGTTTGCACCCTAAAGTTTGAACCTTTTGCACTTGAACCCCTGGGAAACCGACTTGGGACTTAATCAATGAGTTGAGATATATTTCGGTCTCTGGTTAGTCGAGGGGGCAAAGTGCAAAAATTGACCGTATCACGAAACACTCGTGTTCTTTTTCTTTCATGGATTGGGGGTTATCATAAATGAGATTTAATTACACTTTGCACCCGAACCTTTTTTGCACTTGACCCCCCGGGAAACCGACTTGTGCAAATTGACCGTATCAAGAAACACTCGTGTTTGTTTTGACTGAACGTGGGATCTAATCTACCTATAAATCGGTAGTATTTGCATGAATAATGCAAATTATTTTGTTTTCAGCTTCCGCGAAAAGTGAAGATTCTTTTGATATTGAGGACTCCAAAGAAGTCCCAAATGTAGTCGAGCCCGCATTAGAGCCTAATGGGGAGAATTCAGGGTCAAAACCGGAGGTTGACCAGGATGAAAGTGGCTCGGAAAATAGTCGGAGCATATTTAGTTACGACCAGCTGAAGTCCAAATCCGATAATCCTGTTACAGGAATCGACTTTAAACGCAGAGAGGTTTGTTTGTTGTTCCATCTCAATGTTCTATCCATTTTATTTTACGATTGGTCGATTAATTACCAAAACTACCCTCGACGCCATCCAAGTGTAGCAAATTGCCCCTATGGTTTGTAACTTTGTATAGACCTACAAAAACGAAAAGCAAGTGTAATTTCGAAAGTTTATTTCTTTTTCTATTTTTATCGTACTCAGCCTCATGGCTAGTTTTCGCAACATAAATCTCATTGACATGTATTTTTTCTTTTTTCATTTTAAATGGCTTTTTCAGGCTTACCTCTCGGATGACGAGTTCGAATCTGTGCTGGGAATGACCAAACAAGCATTCTACAAGCTGCCCAAGTGGAAACAGGACATGCATAAAAGGAAAGTTGATCTCTTCTAGAAATGGAAATTGCTGAAAACATTAAAAAAATAAAAAGAAAAAAAAATCTTGCAAATTCGAAGTGCTAGTTTGTTCGGCTCTGATTTTTTCTTTTTTCTTTTTTTTTTTGTATTTTTATTTTTCGTTTGTGGAAATTCTCGTGTTCCACTACCGTTGTGTGCTATGATCGCGTGTCGCAGCTTTCAGACGAGAAGAAGATTGAGTTCTTTGATTTGGTTGGTGTTTTTATGTTGAACTTTTTCTGTGTTTTTCTTCATCCTTTTAATCATTTATATATTTTTTTCCAGTTAAAAGGGTGTATTTTGTATTGCATTTGTATATGCTAAGGAATGTAGATGAAGTTTGCTACCATAATCCTATGGATTTGTATTTGTTATGGGAAATTTTTGCCCCTTTTTGGGTTTGATATTTTAATTTTGCTTGACTTGAAATTTTATGTGATGATTGATTTTGATTACAGCTTAGAGCAGGGGTGAATTTGGTATTTTGTTCTCTTTGGAATAATTGAAAGTATTCTCTAATAGGCATTTTTATTTTAAACATAATTCCAAGAACAAACAAGAAAGCATTTGAAATTTTGAATCAACAAACCAAAATAGGTGGAGTAGACTGTAGAGGGCTTGGTGGTGGGTTGGGCTTAGTCTATTTGATCTTATTGTGGGCTTTGTTCAATTTGAGTGGGCCATAGTAAAAGTTGCTTAGAAGATTTTGCTTGCATCTGGCTAGACTTGTATGAGTGGGCCCAAATCCTAAAATCCAACATGAAAACATCACTAATAATTTTATAACTCGGCTGAAGAC